GGCTGCTGAAACAGCTGCAGGCCCCAGTGAGCTCACCAAAGCGGCCCTGTTGCCTCAGGAAGCCTCTTGGGTAAAGACATCACTCCACTGGCCAAGAAAACTCAACTGCATTGCTCTTGTGTTTTACAGAGACGAGTAACATGAGAAACCCAGCTGGGCTCAGCAAGATGGCCGAACACAGGGCTTCTGCCTGCTGAGCTGCGACGCGGCTCTGTGCCACCCCGCACTGTCCATTCCGTGAAAGCAGCGGAAGGCCTGCTCGTCTTCTTCCTAACAAAACCCCAGCTAGGGCCTCCTTGGTGGCACAGCAGGTTCAAGTGCAGCTCTATGAAGCTGTCTGCAGCCACTGCAGCACGAGTTCAATCCCCGGCCAGGGAGTGGCCCCCAGGGCGCAGCAGACCTCTCCTGTCTCCCTGCTGCTCTTCACAGATGTATATTTCAGCCATTCTGCCTGTTCTACTCCCCACTCTGTCTCTGGTGAGTCCTCTCACCCCCCGCATCTCTGACCTGTACCCCAGTTCTTGTGTGCATAAGTAAATAAATAAATCTTAAAAAAAAAATAATAAACCAGTCTGGTGCTCATGCATCCTCTCCTGAGGACGGTTGATTTAGGGGAGATGGCTCTGGGGATGCCCTGGTTCTCCTGTTGATTCTGCCCCCTGGGGTTGTCCTGCTGGGAAAGGTGAGGTCCTGAGTTCATCAGTGAGACACCGTGACGCTGGCTGTAGCTTCGGCTTGCTCCCAACGCGCACACACACAGGTCATGCACAGCTGTGTGCAGGTTTGACAACAGTTCACAAACTGAAGTGCTGTGCAACCGGGGCCCAGACCGAGAAAAAAAGCACTCCCAGCACCCAGGAAACCTCCCTGCCCCTCCACTCACGGAGCGCTCAGGGCTGGCCACTGTCCCACTGTCAACAGTGTCCGGAGTCCACACCAGTGACACTTGGTGCTCGATCAAAAAATACGCACTTCTGGGTCAGGCTCTGTATCTATGTGGCACCGCCTCTATGTGGTGGGTGTCCCAAGGTGCTTCCTTCCTATACATGTTCCATTCTGAAGTAAGCCAAATGTATCCATTCTACTGTTGATGGGTACTTGATTGGTTTCCAGTTAGCTGTACTGTGAATTGCAATGCTGTGCACATTTTAACACCTGTGGATGGACATGTGTGTGAATTTCTGCAGGATCTGTGCCACAGAGGAATTTCAGGGCCAAAGGGTATCTGTAGGTTTCCTTCTTTCTTCTTTTCTTTTAAGGATTTATTTAAGCATACAGAACTGGGGTGCAGCCAGAGGTCCAGGGGGTGAGAGGCTTCACCAGAGGCAGAGTGGGGAGCAGAACAGGCTGACAGACAAAGTACACTGCTGAGGGGAGCAGCAGGCGGGTCAGGAGAGGTCTGCCGCACCCTGTGGGTCACCTCCTGGGCGGGGATTGAACTCACACTGAAGCGGCTGCGGGGAGTTTGCAGTGCTGCACCCTAACCTGTTGCGCCACCAGGGAGGGCCAGGTAGGTTTCTTTTTCAGAGGGCAGCAGGCAGTTTTCACAGGGATTGTGGCAGGTGACGCTCCCACGGCAACATCGGGAACCACGTGTCTGTCAGCACGTCTGTCTTCTCGGCGGCTGTTTGGAGGAGGCAGAGGGGAGACCTGACATAGGCTCCGGACACTGGAAGCCATGTAGAACACCAGCTAGTTCTGCCTACGAAGACGAAGCTAGAAGATTATCAGAGGCCAAGACGAATACAACAGCGGCCGACAGCTCCCAAGTCACCATGAACTCAATGATCATACAGCCGCCGGACAATCAACTCACCCTGTGACCTTGTACCCGGGGGAGCGCTTTGGTTTTTCGTCATCTGGATCAGAAAGCATCTTCATCAACCTCTGCGCCTCACAACACCCATCCTTCATTTTGTAATGCAGAAACTGATCACCACGGAACCGTCTGATTTCCCCAATCCGCAGGGTTGGCAAAGGGCAGAGCCAGGACTAGAACCTGGAGCCCAGTGGCCAGTCTCCAGCTTCCCCACCTACCCCCCGACCCCCTCCTGCAGGCAGGACAGCTGCCCTCTCCTGTGCGCGACAGGACTAGAAGGACCAGAGCCTTTGGCCATGCGCTGCTGCTTTTCAGCCACCAAATTACCGAATGCAGCGATGCGGATGGCTCAGCTGAGAAGCGCCGGCTGGGTGTCTTTTGGGAACAGAGGCATAGAACTGCCCCTCGGGGGACCTGTTTCAGGGAAGCTGCCAACCCCAGGAGGGCGGTCCCAGTCCCGGGGAAAGGCCGGCACTTTAGTCATGTCACCAAGGAGGACGCAAGGACCGTGGGAAGAGTAGAGCCGTGAGCGTGGCAGCCAGTTCACCTTCTAGCTGGACAGAGGCGGAGCGGGACTGCCAGCTCCCCAGCTCGGAAACCCAAGCGCAGTGCCCCTAGCTCAGGGAGGCACAACACAGACATAAAAATTCCAAGAGCAGGGCCCTCCCTGGAGGCACAGCGGGAGAGCACTGCATAATGAAGCTGTCCGCAGCCACTGCAGCACGAGTTCGATCCCCGGCCAGGGAGCTGACCACAGGGCGCGGCAGACCTCTCCTGTCTCCCCGCAGCCCCCCTCAGCAGTGTGCTTCATCAGTCGGCCTGTTCTGCTCCCCGCTCTGTCTCTGGTGAATCCTCTCACCACCCCAGCGCCCTGGCTGTACCCCAGTTCTGTAAGCATGAATAAATAAACCCTTTTACAAAAATCAAAGAGCAGTGGGAGACAGTTCAGTGCCCTGAAGCATCGCCATGAGGCAGGCTCTGGGAGCCAGTCTCGCCGCTTAGCACACTGTGAAGCACTCAGGAGCCAGCCTTGTCTTGGGGTGAGAAGCATGTGCTACGCTCCCCCTCTAGACAGGACGAGTTAGTCTGCGGGGTGCAACTTCAATGGATGAACTTGCTCCTAGAGCAGTTTTCAAATGACTGGTGTAGGAAAAAAAGTCAGCGGCTCATGTTGCTACCCCACTCAACCTCCCCCCCCCAGTGGCTGCACAATGGGGTTCTAATGACACCCACAATCCTCTGTCTGGTCCACAAGGCCTGTATCCCTCTGCTCCAGACAACCCTCTGCTCCAGGCATCCTGGTCTTCCGTGTGCTCCTTGAACCTGACATGTTTTAATGACCTCAGGGACTCTGCACCTGTCCTTCCTGTTCTGGAACGTTCCTCCCAGCTCATGATCCAGTGAAAGTTCATTCATCAGTTCTCAGCCAATGTCACCTTGTCAAAGGTGACAAGAGAGGGTCACCTGTCTGGTGACCCTCTCTGAAGCAGTCCCCCATTACTCCTCACCACGTCACCCTGTTTATCATCGTCCTCACACTCATGGTGGATGCAGTCACGAAGTGCCACGGCAGTGGGGCCCTGCCTGTCTCGCTCACCACTGTATCCCTAACACCTGGAATGGTAGCAGCACAGAGGAGGTGCTTAGCTGAGGAAAGGGGAGAAGGAATACCGGGTGGGCTACGTGTGAATGATGCGTGCATGCGGCTTTGTTCTCTGCTACCTGCGCCAAGACTATTTCTCTACTCACCAGCTTCTTTGCTAAAAAAGTTTTCCAGAAAACAAATAGCGAGAAAAATAAAATCGGGTGTGGGGGGAGGATTAGTGAGAAAGAAAACTGGGATGTAATCAAAAATAAGACTTAAAACTTTTAACCTGCCAGTTCTCCCAGGAGGTTGCATGAACTAAATAACTAGATTGTGAGACATCTTCAGAAGTCACATGATGCCATCTTGGGTTTGTTTGTTTGCTTTTATGGACTTTTCTGCTCAGTAACTGTGGCCAATATATTGGTCGGCAGGCGATTTCACTGGGCTTTGGAGAATCCGTGGTCAGCCTGGCGCGTCCTTCTGAGCATGTATGTGTGGGGACGCCCACAGGCGGGCTGTACCAACAGTGCCCCTTCCAGGACAGCCATGCACCCTCTTGCCGCCCTGGCGCATGGAGTGAGGAAACCTTTACTAGACTTCCGCTCTCACACGCCTTCCAGTCCACGCTGCCCCCCCCCCCCCCCCCCCCGTCCCAGATCAAGAGGCTTGAGGTGCAGTTAACAGACACAGAGCCAGTTAGTGATGCACTCAACCGGGGGCCAGGCTCTGTACCCTCTCTGGGTGGCCTTTCATGACACCAGATACACGCGGTAAGTCGGCCACTGGCAAAGGGCACATTTGGCCACCAGAAGTGCAAAGCACCACAAGGAAGGGGCAGCTCTGTTCGGTCTGCAGCTACCCGCAGCGCTCACCTTGGCTGCAGGAGAGCAGACAGAGAGGAAGGCATGCAAGCCCAACCAACAGCTCCGTCCGAGGGCGGGGTGCTGGTACGTGGCTCCCTGTCGCACCTCAATGGTGCAGGGCTCAGCGCTGACGCCACCTGCCCCCAATCCGCAGCAAGCCGCAGCCTCAAAGCCACCAGCCGAGCCCGCGGCCCTGTACCTCAGAGGTGGCTGCTTCACCCGAGTGGGAGTGACCGACTCCCCAAGCCAGTACTCAGCAAGCCCAGAGCGAGGACCACGGATGGGATGCGGAGGGAAGGGAGAAAGCTCAGCCAGGAGGGTGCGAGTAGGGTGGGGGGCAGAATGACGGGAAGAGAAGGGAGACAGGGAGGGGCAAAACAGCGAGCGACCCCCTTGGGTCCCTTTCTTGGGGATTTGAGATCTCGGTTCAGGTTTCTAGGGAACGGAATCTTCATCCAGCTCCCCAGATCCGCCCTTGACCGCACCCCCTGCCCCCCCCAGAACGCAAGCGCCACAGCCAGAAGCGGAGGACCTACTCCCTCCTCACCCCCCTCCTCCCCCGGGACTCGGCGCCTGCCAGAAGGAGCGGGCGGTGGAGGCTGGACCCCGCCAAACCCCGAGCTCAGCTCGAGCACCGCACCCCGGCGGCGATGGGTGTCCGCCGGAAGTCGGGGTTCTACGCCCACCGCCCGCAGCCCGGCCCGCCCCCGGCCGCGCCGCCGGCCGCTACCTGTAGTAGCGATCATCCCTGAACGGCGTGAGGTCCTCCTTCAGCTCCCGGTACGCCTCCTGGAGCCGCTTGCACAGGTGCTTGAGCTCGCTGCAGAGCGGGGGCTCGAAAGCAGGGTACTCGGCGTCCATCCCCGCGCCGCGCCCGCCGGCTCGCCCCAGCCGCGCCGCCCTTTGAATGGCTTCCCTCGCCCCCTCTCTCGCCGGCTCCGGGGATCGGGGGCTGCCGGCGCGCGGGGCGGGGCCGAGGAGGAGGAGCGGGCGGCGGGGGAGGTGGGGAGGGGGCGCGGAGGAAGCGGGCGGGCGGCTCAGGGCCCCGCGACGACGCGGGGAGCGGCCCCTAGGAGGGAGGAAGGGTCCCGCCCAGCCGAAAGGCCTCGGGAGGCGAGGTGCCGCGCCCATCAGCTGCCGCCCAGGCGGAGGCGAGTCCACACAAGGTCATCTGCCGCCCAGGGCGAAAATATAAAGGGCCACCCTCGCTACGGCGCGCTAGGAATCAAGGAACTGGAGGTGGCCGCGGAAAGGAAAATGGGGTCTGGAGACCGACTGCGAGCCGCGCCGGGAAGGTCGAGGCCTCGGCCCAGGCTTCCGCGTCAGCACCACGGACAGCTCCGTGCTCTTGGGCTTCCTTTGCTCTCTGGCTAACAGACTCCCTCCCAGTAGACATGCGGTAATAAATATTATATTTAAATAATAAAGGAGCGTGCCCAAAATGAGCTGCCTACTCGCACACACGCACAGACTGGGCAAGAGAGTGCCCACCTCTACACAGCATAACACTAGTGTGTCAAATAAAAACTCATGAATCAGTATGTCTTCCATGGACTATTTAGCCAAAGATGATGTCATTTCCTCCTGTGAACTTTTCCAATAACAAGTGAAGAAATAGCTTTTCTGGATGATGTCAGTGTTTCCACCTGAATCTGCAGATGGATGTCCTAGCAAGTTTGATCTTGCCAACGCTGAAGGAAGCTTGCACACACATTGGAGGGCCTGAATACTGAGTCTGAAGTATAGAACATGGGCCCAGGAAGATGTATTTTTCAAGGTTCCCCAGGTGAGCCTAATGAGCAACTCACATGGAAATATTCTCATAACCTCTAATTCAGCTGCTTTTATCTATGCGCTAGCCCCTCTCACTCTTCCTTGTTCTTTATTTCTATCATCACATTTTATTTTCTGACTCTCACTTAGCCCTTGGAATAATTTTTTGTCTGCTGGCCAAACTCTCCAGGCAGAGCTCACAAATATTCCCATAACTGCCAATCATTCCTTCCTGTGCACAGTTTGGTTTTAGCTGTAAATCATTACATGAGCACCTGTATTTAACCATCTCAAGAAGACAAGTAATTGATCCCAGAGTTGGGTATACCCAAAACACAGGGGAGAAAGAGGCACGCTAAAACATGTTCCTTCTAAAGCACACGTGCAGATTTGTTTTTTGTAAGAGATTGACTCTGAGGTAAACTGCCACAGTGGATTCAGAGAGTTTATCACTAGGGGAAAGTTCATCAACCTAAAGATACACTAAACCCCTTAAAAATGCTCCTGGAAAACTTCCCTTGCTTCTCTAGCCCAGGCCTCCCCCCACCCACTTTGAACTATGGAGTCCCTAGAAGACAGTGTCAGGCTTCTGGCTCTAGTGTTATGGAATAATAATCTACTTTGCTCCCTCGCTCATCACGGAGCTGGAAATGCTAGGTAAATATGTACACAGGTGCACACCGTCCACAACAACTGCATAAATATCATACACCGTCTGCTATAATTGCTTTACCTTTCTGTAAATTTTATTTCCTCTAGAATTAATAACTGCCTTTTTTATAGCCTGATTTTCTATTTGTTAGTCACTAACTCAACCTCAGCCCTGCCTCCGGTTGCTTAACTTCCCTCTCAGGATTTGCAGGCCGACGATCCCTTCTCAGTTTCATCTTTGTGGAATCTCTTCTTGGCCTTCGGATCAGCTGTGGATTAGTCGTCCTAGGGCTGGGGTCCTGCTGTCTTCTGAGTGACCTCTGCAACATCATTCTGGAATTCTTCCTCTTTTGTTCTGTTAGGATCCTGTGTCTTTTCTTTTCTCTTTTTTTAAGATTTATTTATTAGGGCCCTCCCTGGTTGTGCAACAGGTCAAGTCACAGCACTGCAAGCTCGCAGCAGTCATTTCAGTGAAAGGTCAATCCCAGCCCCGGAGGTGGTCTACATGGCACAGCAGACCCCTCCTGTCTCCCCACTGCTCCCCTCAGCAGTATACTTCATCGATCTACCTGTTCTCCCCACTCTGTCTTTGGTGAACCCTCTCACCCCCTGCACTTCTGGCCTGTACCCCAGTTCTGTATGCATAAAATTTTTAAAGATCTTTTTTAATAATTTATTTACTTAGTTCTGTATGCATAAAAAATCTTATTTTTAAAAAAGATTTATTAATTTACATACAGAACTGGGGTACAGGCCAGAAGTGCAGGGGGTGAGAGGGTTCACCAGAGACAGAGTGGGGAGCAGAACAGGCAGATCAATGAAGTACAATGCTGAGGGGAGCAGCGGGGAGACAGGAGGGGTCTGCCGTGCCCTGTGGGTCACTCCTTGGCCAAGGGTCGATCTCGTGCTGCAGTGGCTACGGCCAGCTTCTTAGTGCTGCGCTTTAACCTGTTGCACCATTAGGGAGGGCCCTGGGTCCTGTGCTTACTCTTTATTGGTGAAGTGTATTTTCAAGGAGCTTACTGAGAAAAGATGATGGGATGCAAATTTTTTGAGGTCACAAATGTAAACATCATTCTTTTACCTTGTACTTGGTTGTGTGGCTAGAAAAAGCAAGTAATTTTCCTTTAAAATTTGAAGGCATTTTTCCACGATCACTTAGATTTTGTTGTTGCTATTAAGGAGTCTAAAGCCATCGCAAACCCTATTCCTTTTTATATATCTTTTTTCCCCCTCACTGGTAGTATTTAGGAATTTAATGTTGTCCACACTGTGATGACATTTTAAGATTATGTGTGACAGTTTTCTATGGGACTTTTGAGTGATAATTTCCCTGGAAATTTGGGTGTTTCGATGTGAGGAAATTTTCTTAAATTATTTTCTTGATAATGTCTTTCCCTCTGTTTTCTGTTATTTCTTTCTGGAATTCCTATTTGTTGGAAGCTGATCATCTTTTTTTTTTCTTTTTCTGTCTACTTTTTTATTCAACATGATCTTCCAATATTTCTACCAATAGTTTCATTTCTACGATGATGTTTTTAATTTCTAGGAACTTTGATTATTTCACTAATCTTTCCTTCTTGTAGAATATTCTGTTTCCTGTTTCATGGATGTAATATCTCCCCCACCACTGCTCTCTCCTTTATTTAAAAATATGTCCTGGCCCTCCCTGGTGGCGCAGCCGGTTAAAGCACAGCATTGAGAAGGTAAAACCACTTCCGCATGAGTTCGATTCCCGCCTGCCCCGGAGGAGACCACATGGCGTGGCAGACCTCTCCTGACCCGCCCGCTGCTCCCCTCAGCAGTGTACTTCGTAGATCTGCCTGTTCTGCTCCCCACTCTGTCTCTGGTGAAGCCTCTCACCACCCCTGACCCTCTGGCCTGTACCCCAGCTCTGTATGCACAAATAAATAAAAATAAAAAAAAATAAAAATAAATAAAAATATGTCCTTTTCCCTTTATAATCTATTTTCTCCAAGCTGCTCTTTCCTGCTGATTTGTGTCTCTATCTTTCAGATTAGAAGTTCTTCCAGATGTGCTATGATTTTGCTATGATTTGGCTAAATACTTCTACTTAAGAGCGGAATAGTAAAACAGCGTGCTTGTGTGTGTCTATTGGTGTAATATATCTGAGCCATTCCTTGGAGCCGCCGTATCAGTACCATTAAGACTCTCCTCTTAGATTGGTGCTCACAGGCTCCAGTTCACCCATGCAGGACAGAATTAATCTCCCCTCATCATGAACCTGTGCTGCTTTTGGAGTTTCGCCATATGCCTCTGCTCCGGGGCTCAAGAAGGATTGCAGCTTCTGTTTTCAGCCTTTTGAAAGCCAGCCCATGTGTCAGGAAGCATGCATTTTCCTGCTGGGGAGGTCAGGCAGTGAGAGCCTTAGAGAATGTGGAGAAGGGTCGAGGAGCCCTCCCCCCCTGAGCACCCACCGCTGCCTTGAATGCCCCATCCCCAGGCCAGCCCTCAGCTGAAGGCAGTCACGTGCGTAACTTGTGACCGGCATGTAGAGCAGAATAAATGCCCACAAAGCCCACTATCCCGTAGACTCAGGATATTACTGTTGTCTTAAGCTAAGATGTTGTGAGATGGAAGGTTTTTTCTGTCACATTAGGAAAAAACTGACACAACCAGTTCAATTCTGTAGAGCAAGAGTCTTTCATTTCCCTCTGGGAGGAGGAGGCCCGTCCGCATTTACATCAGCGTTCACTTCAGCTACCTGGCCTTGGCCACAGATCGCTCTGCTGTGGAATTTACTGGCCTAAAATAAAAGCCATGCAATCTTGCATGACACAGTTCAAGCTGGCTTCGAAGTCAGTTGCGCGTTCCGTGCCGCATGTGGACAGCCCACCTAGGCGGAGGCCCCAGGGCGTGCTCACTCACCACGCGCTGGCCCCCGGCTGTAGGCACCTGCCGCACTCGCTCCCACCAGGAGGTCTCCTCCTAGCTGCTCGGCCTTCTCCCGGTGCGGCGAGAGCAGAAACGACACACGGCTGCCCAGCGGCAGTGCTTGGCAGTGCTTGGCAGTGCCAGGACATCGCTTTCCCTCTCTGATAGGCCCAAGTGGTGCCCGCCCAACCTAGGCCGGCTGCTTCTTGGTTTTCTTCAGTCTCTGCCAGCTAAGGGGCCTCACATGCCAACTTCTTTGCTTTATGATTTACAAACATTTGTGTTTGCTTTCTGCTCTCCTGTTCTCCCCATCTTTTGGGTGAATGGCTTTAAGGGATCCTTTAGCTTAATTGTTTTGGGGGGTCAACGACAGTGACGTCTGCTCAGCCCACTACCTTCGTTTCCTCTGTGGCTCATTAAGGATGGTATTCTGGTGTCCAGCTCAGACAGGTACACTAAGCACATGAAGGGCTCCCCTCAAGTTATCCTTTGGCTTTTGCACCCCACAAAAGGGCTGTTGTCTCCTCGTGACGCACACAAGCATCTGTGATTCCGGAAGCCTTCTGTCCGGCTGTGGCCCAGACTGGTCAGAAGTCTGCTTCTCTCCTTTAGTGATGGAGCTTGTCCTGAATACTAACATCACTAAACTTTGACTCCTTTCTTGTGTACAATGAGAATGACAATGTTGGCTGCCTCCTGGGCTTGGGGAGGGAAGGATTATGTAAAACACTCGATACAGTCTTGGTTCGTAGCCAGGTCTCATTAACGTGTCAACACTCCTGGGGCTCCCACAGGTTTCCTTTCCCTGAGATTACTGATACCTGTGCTTTCTCATTATAGAAACTTACATAACAAGAGCTCTTACGCAAGAGAATGAAAATCACCCATACATCCTTGCGAGAGAATCACTGTTAACATTTTAAAATATTTTCTGATAGTATGTGGAAGCCATTACATTTCCGCCCAGTGCCCTTCGTGGCTGACTGGGGTCTCTCGGTCTCCCCAGCTATCGTGAGGGCAGAAGCCAGGATGTGGGCAGGCCCAGCAGTGGTCACTTCCATTCAAATACTCCGTCTGCTCTATGCCAGTCTCCTTAGTCAATGCAGCGTTTCCAGGCTGGCACCTCACACCTGCCACTCGCATCTTCAACTTCCTTACGAGTAAGAACAGGGCCTCCCTAGCGAAAGCAGAAATGGACATGCCCGCTTAGCAGGCACATTCAAACTATCTCCAGCCCCTGCAGCGTGAGTTCTGTCCCCGGCCAGGGAGTGACCCACAGGGCACAGCAAAGTCCCCTGTCTCCCACTGGCCCCCAGCAGTGGATTCCAGTAGGTC